CAAGGTGTGTGCTGCTGTCCCAATAGTCCCATCTTTTCTAGTAGCAGCGCAAAAAGTTTTGTACTTATTTTTTTACTCACCAGATATCGTGGCCCATTCAAACCTGACTTGTGGTGAGTGCCAGCGTAGTACAGATCATCAATCAGTAAGCCCTTCATCAATTAGAGACTGATATGATGGTGGGACATCCCCCAAAACTATTCCCCCCCCCCCGTAATCAGGGAGAGATTTGAAAAGAAACTCATAGCGTGAATCCATTAAAAACCATTTATTGGATAGAAAGTATTGCTCATGAAATAAATGAAAGCATGCCAAAATATCCACAGTAACCATAAAGGGTATCTGTATATCACTGGAGGGAGCATTTCACCCAATCCTCCTCGCTGCTTGTGAGCGATACGTATCAAAGGGAACCCTTTGACAAGGTCTGGTGATGAAACACGTGCCAGGGTCGAACAGTACAACATATTCTGTAATGAGGCATCCACCTTATATCCCCCCGCCGGAAGTGACGTATCGCTCGCAAGGAGGATCGGGTGAGATGCCACTGAATTGGGGGAGGTTTTCCTCTCAAATGACCCCTAATGGTGGCTTTGTGAGGCTCCCACAAAGTGACGGCCAAGGATACAGAGCCCACATTGTCCGTAAAATAGGACTGAATGTGCGAGAGAACCTGGGAGCAAGAAACCTGAGTAGTGAGAAGGGATTTGTTGAGTCTCCACAAAAAAGAGGGCCGATCCATAGCAGAAAGACACAGTGAGAAGACCAAAGGGTCATGCTCAGACCAGGGTGAGGTCGAGATGACAATCTTTTGAATTAAAGATAAATGTTTGAAGGAAATGAAAACGTGATCTATTCTACAAAAGCTCAAGTGTGGGGCCAAATAAAAAGTGTATTCCCGCGACGTAGGATGCATTTCCCGCCAGACATCTACCAACCCATAAGCTTGCAACATATCACGCAATTTAGATTCCTGAGAGGTCATGGTTAGGGGTCCCCCCCGTCGGGTAACGGCGATTGACAGAGGAATTAAGAGCAGCGTTCGAATCACCCAGCAATAAGAGAATACCACGTTGGTGATCCGAAATCACCTTCAACAAGTGAGAAAAAAAAATTTGTGTTGAAATCTATTTGGCGCGTAATAACCCACCAGGGTCACCTCCTGGTCCCAAAGGGTTCCCCGGAGGAGCAAATACCTGCCAGTGGGATCAGCTATTTCCAGGTTGCAAGTGAACAGCAGATTGCGTCTAAAAGCAATCACCACGCCCCTATGCTTCTCAATGGCTGGAGCAGAGAAAAAGGTTGGATAATGGTGAGAGAGGTAGCGCGGCGCGGAGGACTGAGAAACCTTGTCTCCTGCAGTCAGTCTACGTCCACGTCCTGGGACTTAAGATGATGGAACACTTTAGATCGCTTGGTCGGAGAGTTAAAACCATGGATATTTTGAGAAAAAAATCTTCAAAGGTTTTAAAGCCATACTGAGACAAATGAATTCAGCTGCCAAAGTATGCTAGGAATAACGGTCCAATCTTCAAATGCAACCTTACCCTGGGCTGCCCTGGATCCGTGAGAAAGGAGAAAAAAGAAGCAGACAAGAAACAAGAGACAGAAGAAGAAAATGTACACTCCAAGATAGTGTAACGAAACCACAATCAGCGGAAACTGCGTCCCTACCGCAAGGACACACATAGGGGGTGGCTCTACCACCGGGCACATGGGTGCGTCATAGACAACATAATACATAATAAACCTGCATTGGGAGGGAAAGGGAAGGGGAAGGAGAAGAAAAAAAAAAAAAAGGGGGGGGGGGAACATATCAGGCAAAAAGACGTCAAGTACATTACCGTAAGGAATGCATAATGTGATACCAAAAGATATAGAAAAAATGTAGGCAGATACATAGACATATTAGCATAATAAAAAAGGTGGCATTCCCGGGTCATGGGCCCATACGATCGGAAACAGCACCAATCGTATAAGGCATAGGGCCATGTGCCGGTATATGTGAAGAGGTACAATAACACCCTCCCCCACCAAAAAAAAAAAACCCAGGAGCCGGCGGGAGCCAGAGATCCCATAACCAAAATCGTGGAATAACAATAACAGTAGCGGAAAAAAAAAAATTCAACTCAAAATTGGATAGCGAGGAGGCGGCGGGAAACGAGGATCACCACCAGCACGGACCAATGTTGTACGGAAGAATATGTCAAACTGTAAGACTAAACCCGCAACCTACAAAAAACATACAAAAAGTTCGCCCTACAAGGGCCAGTCAAGGTCTCCACCCCATCAGAAACATGGAGAGTCACATCAGTGGATCAAGCCATCTGAAAAGCGTGTCCCAAAAGACTACAGGGAGGGAGGACACCTTCTGCTTCCAATTGCCTACGTGATCAGACCGGAAGCGGGTACCTGTCAAATTTGGGTACCTACCCCCCAAAGGTGCCAATCCTTAATGGGGAGTGGGGGAGCAGTCCTTAAAGCGGAACTTCCCCTTTTGGGTGGAGCTCCGCTTTAAGGTTTGGTGGCTGTTTGGCAACTCGAACTTTCAGCTCCCTCCACAGATTTTCAATCGGATTAAGGTCTGGAGACTGGCTAGGCCACTCTAGGACCTTAATGTGCTTCTTCTTGAGCCACTCCTTTGTTGCCTTGGCCGTGTGTTTTGGGTCATTGTCATGCTGGAACACCCATCCACGACCCATTTTCAATGCCCTGCTAAGGGAAGAAGGTTCTCACCCAAGATTTGATGATACATTGCCCTGTCCATCGTCACTTTTTTGCGGTGCAGTTGTCCTGTCCCCCAAAGCAGAATGTTTCCACCACGTTTGACAGTTGGGATGGTGTCCTTGGGGTCATAGGCAGCATTCCTCCTCCTCCAAACACAGTGAGTTGAGTTTATGCCAAAGAGCTTGATTTTGGTGCAGTTGTCCTGTCCCCTTAGCAGAAAAAACACCCCCAAAGCAGAATGTTTCCACCACGTTTGACAGTTGGGATGGTGTTCTTGGGGTCATAGGCAGCATTCCTCCTCCTCCAAACACAGCGAGTTGAGTTGATGCCAAAGAGCTTGATTTTGGTCTCATCAGACCACAACACTTTCAACCAGTCCTCCTCTTCATCATTCAGATGTTCAGTGGCAAACTTCAGATGGGCCTGGACATGTGCTTTCTTGAGCAGATGGACCTTGCAAGCACTGCAGGATTTCAATCCTTGCTGGCGTAATGTGTTACCAATTGTTTTCTTGGTGACTGTGTGTTACTAAACCCACAACAGTAAAATCAGTCTGTATATGCAGTAAAGCATGTTTGTTATACTCACTGTGGAACAGGGGCGGACTGACAACTCATGGGACCCCTGGGCAATAGGGGATCATGGGGCCGTGTCCTTGCCCAAACTCAAAAAAGCCTATGAAAAAGGTACCAGGGGCATCTCATGGGGCCCCCTACTGACCTCGGGCAGTGCCCAAGTTTCCAAATAGTCAGGCCGCCCCTGCTGTAGAACCTAAGGGGTCAATTCTCTGCAGTGTGTAAAAAGGATGTTTGATCCTGTCTTCTCCGATCCTCACCTTCTTCCACTGTCCCCAATCCATCTGTTAATAGTACAGAGCCCTAGGAGTCACTCTGCCCATGTTCAGTTTAGTGTGTATGATGTTTTTTTTTTCTTTGGGAGGGTACACGTGATCAGCACAAGGCCAATCAGCACTGTCCAAACGGTCAGAGGTTATGCAGCCTCGTAAGACAGTCAACGGAGATTGAAAATTCTTCCTACAAGCTTTAACCATTGCTCTGCTGGGCACTGATAGAAGTCACAAGATTGCTGTATACTGCTGATAAGAAAAGGTATTTAGCAGTTTATATTTACTAAAATACTTGCATTTCCATGTTCTGTGGGAGGCCGGATATAGTGAATGCAGGGTCATGGGTTTAGAGCTCATACACACTTGTGCAACTTGTCATGCGACTTTGGGGTCCAAAGTCACATGACAAGTCACACCCTATATTTCCCAATGAGTATCATTCATATCTGTGCGACTTTTAAGTTGCAGGGACTTGAAAGTAGTTCCTGCACAGGGGCGGACTGACCATTTGGAAACTCGGGCACTGCCCGAGGTCAGTAGGGGGAAAATGAGATGCCCCTGGTACCTTTATCAAAGGCTTTTTTGAGTTTGGGCAAGGACACAGGGGCTCCATGATCCCCTATTGCCCGGGGGCCCCATGATTTGTCAGTCCGCCCGTTTCTGCACTACTTTGATCTGATTATCATGTGACTTGAGGGCCACAGACTTCAATATAAACCATCCAAAGTCGCATGAACATCATTCCTGAATGTTACACAGGCAACTTGTGTGCAACTTTGTACAGAACAATCATCTTTGGTCAAAGTCGCACTCCTCAAAAGTTGCATCAAACTGTGCTGTAAAGCCGCAATGAAAACCGTATAATTTTAAAGTCGCATAAGAGCGAATGGAGCCTTATGCAGGCCATAGACGGTTCATTTATTGGCCGATTTTCGCACCTAGTGGGGCAATGTCATTGGTCAATTTTTGCAGTTCCTCCTCTTTTATCGCTCATGCTGAAAAATTTGCGAAAAAAACAGACGATTTTCGCAATCATTGGTGGCAACAGAACAACCGATTTTTCGTTTTGCGGCCAATAAACAAACTGTCTATGGCCTGCATTAGTAAGCCTTTAAATGATGCATTTTTTTTAGACGTTTAGAAAAAGCCAGCTGAGGAGAAAACAGGACAGAGTTTGGAAACAGGGACAGTCCCTCCAAGTAGAGGCAGCCAGGACTATGCATATCTGCACAAACACTCAAGACCTTCTTTATTCTGAAACATTTGCTGCAAACGTCCATGTGGTGACTTCTGCTCATTAGCTGAGGGGAATGCTGAACCGAATCCATCCCGCCTAGTAGTCAGCCGCCGTACACCGTGCAAAGGAGTGGAAGTGGGCAGGTTTATATACTCCTCAGAGCCCCTCCCTCCTTCTCCACACTCCATCATGGCGATGCATAACAAGGCCACAACGCCTCAGATTCCAGATACCCGCCGGGAACTGGCCGAGCTAGTGAAACGGAAACAGGAGCTAGCGGTAAAGTGACTTTCCTTACTAATACCGAATGCTGGACGGATCAATCCGCTTAAACCGGCTTAGCGGTCCGTTTACATTTCCTTCGATTATATAAACGGCACCTCTTCCTCTCGCGTTACCTTCGTTTTCGCTGCTGGGTTACGTGAATCTCGGCATTGCTACGTAGCGTACGTAGAATGGTGTGGTCTGTAATGGGCTGCGCCATTGGCGTTGCGCAGCGTTTGTAGTAGAATGGCGTAGTGTACGCTTTTGACGTAGGTTCAGCCTTATCGTTGAATGGAAAGAGGGCGGTGATGGTGGCGGGAAAGAGAAATACAGGGGGTGGGGACAGGCTGAGAGAAAATATGGTGTTTTAGTACGCAGTGTGTTCAAACCTATGGTATACAATGTATGCTTTGGTTTCAGCAGTATATTTTGTGTGATATGGCTCTCCATGGTGAAAGGTTAAAAAAAGGCTTAGTACTTTGTGCAGCAAGTGCACCTGTCTTTCTGTGATCCCAGATGATCTGTCCAGGCAGAGTGTCCCTATGGGAAGTATAGAAAGAGCCCTTGGCCTAAGAAAATGACCTTAGGCCATTATATTATTATTATACAGGATTTATATAGTGCCAACAGTTTGCTGAGTGCTTTACAATATCATGGGAGACAATACAGCAACAATACAGTTCAATACAAGAGGTATAGGAGGGCCCTGATCCTGGAGCTTACAATCTAAGAGCCCATATGTTCCCAACATAAATGTACCCTTTCCAAAGCAAAATGTGGAATAAAAAGTCCTGGTTGCATATCTGTGAACAGTACAAACCAACCACATGGGCAGCACAGTGGCTATATGGTTAGCACTTCTGCCTGGCAGTACTAGGGTCGTTGGTTCAAATCCCAACCACAGCACCACCTGCCTGGAGTTTGCATGTTCTCCCTGTGCCTGCGTGGGTTTCCTCCGGGTGCTTCGTTTCCTCCCACACTCCAAAGACATGCTGGTAGGTTCATTGGATCCTGTCTAAATTGGCCCTGATTGTGTATGTATGAATGTGAGTTAGGGACCTTAGATTGTACACCCCTTGAGGGTTAGGGACTGATGTGAATGTACAATATATCCGTGTAAAGCGCTGCGTAAATTGACGGCGCTATATAAGTACCTGAAATAATAACCACATGTCTAGTAGTATAACCTTATCGTTGCCAGGGCGTTTTTTGCAATTTTTTTGCACACGTTTAAAAAAAATAATTTTATGCCTGAAGATTGCGTAAACCCCCCCAAAAAAAAGCAGACACCCCAGAGAATAAAATAGTGGCAGCTGCCATTTTTTTATGTCACACAATATTACCGCAAAGGTCTAGGAAACGCAACATTTCAGTAAAAAATACACTAAAGTCATTTTCAGGGCTCACAAATGAAATAAATTACCCATTTTTTTAATGAACTATAAAAGACGAAGTTGTGTCAAGTAAATGGATGCCCAACATGTCAAACCTTAAATTTGCGCGTGCCTGTGAAATGGCACCAAACTTCACCTTATATTGTCCATAGGAGACGCTTTAAAAGCCCCACCTCCTATACATCAGTTTTATATCAGAAATATTGCTCTCCAGCGTGCGCGGCAATATGTAACGTGTATCGCAATCAAAGCTTTCATGTGTAGGCACCCCTAACGTGCGTTTACATTCATCCGAGTGTATGTGTGGGGGGGGGCTTCAAATTTTTTAATTTTTTTACAATTTAAAAAAATTTACTTTTTTTTTTTTTTATACACGTCATGGGTCCCATCACAAAAAGTCTCCTATGTGATAATTTTTTGGCAACAGGCTCTCTTTAGCCACTTGCCTACCGGGCACTTTCACCCCCTTCCTGCCCAGGCCAGTTTTCAGCTTTTAGTGCTGTTGCACTTTGACTATTGTGCGGTCATGCAATACAGTACACGTGAAATTTAAATTTTTTTTTTAGACATATAGAGATTTCTTTTGGTGGTATTTAATCACCACTGGGGATTTTTGTTTTTCGCTAAACAAATGAAAACATTTTTTTCTTAGTTTCTGTTATAAAATTTTTGCTCACAGGTTATTTTTCTCTTTCACTGATGTGCGCTCATAAGGCTGCACTGATGGGCATTGATGTGCAGCTCTGATCACATGATGTGATAAACTGCCAATCACAGCTCCCTTTTACCACGTGATCAGCTGTGTCCACTGACGCAACTGATCACAATGTAAATACATTTGCTGATTACTGGCTCTTCTATTTCCTCATGCTGTGACAGCTTAAGGAAAAAGCAGCCGATAACTGGCAAATGTATTTACATTGTGATCAGTTGTCAGTAGACACAGCTGATCACGTGGTAAAAGGGAGCTGTGATTGGCCCTTTATCTTGTCATGTGATCAGCCGTGTCTGACGGAAACTGCGATCACAGACCTCACCAGGTGCACGCCCCAGGGTGCGGGAGGCGCGGTTCTGGAGGTCGTCATAGAACGCCCTCCCAGAACAAGACAACCGCACTGTAGCCATCATTTGGCTGTAGTCTGGTGGTTAATGGGACATCTGGAGTCTAAAAGACCCTGGATGTCTCACTTGTGCTCCACTGAATTAAATGCAGTGGAGATCGCAGTGCTTTACGTTCTTTCCCAGCCATACTGGCCGAGAACACTAACATGGGAATGCAGAAGTCACATGTGTCGGTTTCTGGTCAGCAACAAGAAGGGAAGGGAGTGGATGTGTGTCTGCTCTACTTCCTCCCCTCTACCTGGTGGCACCCACTATGCTGGGCCTGCAGGTGGGCAATTGGAGCCCGGGTTCTGCTTTAAGGGCTTGTTCACACAGGTAGCTAGGTTGGATGGTAAAAATGGGTAGTAGGGTTACAGTTTTTTAAAACCCCCTTGAGCTACCGTGGCCAGATGAGGTTGTACACATCAGTCATTGTTTTCTTACGCAGGTGCATCTAATTCACACATTTTATGTTAATTAGGGAAAAGGGGGCCTAAAAAAAATATATATATTTTTATTGGGGGGGGGGGGGGGGGGGTTTATCAATTTTTTTTTTCTCTGAACTCTAGGAATTGCGCACAATGTAAGTATGCATATCTCATACTGCTGGTGAAGCTGGACATTGCTGACTACTACAGTGATAGCTGTGATCTTCTGAGCCCTGCTCGGGTTCTCCCCTTTATGGAACACAGAGGGCTGTTTGAAGGCACTGCTACCATTCGTAGAGCACCTTGTATTTTTTTTTTTTTATATGCATACAATTTGTTCTCTGATTAGACAAAGTGGAGAGAGAGGATAATGAAGTCACCTTTTACTGAACTTACATCTTTCCTTTTGGGGTGATCCTCTGAACAATGAGGATGCCAAATACAGCAATAGAATGCTCCAGGACAGCGTGGTTGTGTCTCTTCACTATATTTGGGTTTCTCCTCATTCTCAGGACATCACCATCTCCATTGCTGAAGCCAGGCATAATATAAAAATGTTTTCTAACTTCCATGGGCTCCCATTGCTGTCTCAGCCAATGAGGAGGAAGTCTCCAGACAGCAGTGGCTGTCAAGAATGTCCTTGGATCAGAGGGCTCAGTAAGGATTGGGGGGGCGGCCTTTAGACCCACGTTAAAGGCCTGTTCACAGCGGTGGCTGACATGCCGTAGGTTGGTTTTGATGCTCTGATAGCAGCACACTACACTACTAATTTATTATTTATTTTTTTTACAGTGTGTCAATTTGGTAATTTCTATTGGCTGCAGCACGGTGTGAGGTGTGCACTGCTTGCAGTATTTCCTTTCAGTACATGCCACCATAGCGTGGTGATGTGAACTGGCCAGGTAGGAGGCAACACAGACCTACTGCACGTAGTGTGAACAGGCCCTTATTGCAGGGATTTGAGATTCAAGCAAGGTCCACTTTACAGGCTTGTTAACACCATGGTGAATGAAAAATCACACCTTGGAATATATGATCACCAGTGCTCTGATGATCAGTGTAGATGTCCCCTCCGCGGAATGCCGATTACTGGCTCTCCTCTCGAGCTGTCAGCGTGACAGCTCGAGAGGAGAGAAATGCCGATAACCGGCATTTCCCTGTTTACATGTGATCGGCTGTGATTGGACACAGCTGATCACATGACCGAGCCGACGTCTTCGGCTCCTTCCGTGGATCGGTGATCCACTGTGTCCGAGGAACACAGCGCACCGCCGAACGCTGCACACTCCCGGAGCCGCGTATGCGCGGTGAGAATGGGAGGACGTCATGTGACGTCCTCCCAGGACGAGAGAACCACCTTGCGCCTGTCATTGGACTATATGGCGGGAGGTGGTTAAAATGGAAATACATGTCGTAATCTGACTACAATCTCCTTTTTATATATATCAGAACTATGCACTGGGAGAGCCTACCTGTGAGCATAGCCTCAAAGTAAACCTGTTCTAATAGAAATACCTCCTCCTAAAAATAAATAAATACAAATAATATGCTGGTTGCCAAGAGAGTGCTAGAGGTTCAACATCATTGTCTTGGAGCAAATATACATAACAGCAAAGTTGAGAGCATATTCTGAGGCCCTTGTTTGCATACTTGTTTTTGTTTACAAATGTATTGAAGCAACAGAGCAGAGAGCATGGTGGCTCTTGTAGAAGTTCTATCAGCGATGGCAGTATCCATTGTTCTTGTGGGAAAAGCTTCACTGAAACCTATTGATAATTTAAAAGATCGTTCTAAGTAATTTAACCACTTGCCTACAGGGCACTTATATCCCCTTCCTGCCCAGGCCAATTTCCAGCTTTCAGCGCTGTCACACTTTGACAATTGCGCGGTCATGCAACACTGTACCCATATGAAATTTTTATAATTTGTTTTGTGACAGAGCTTTATTTTGGTGGTATTTAGTCACCTCTGGGTTTTTTATTTTTTCTTAAACCAAAAACCACTGAAAATTTTGAAAAAAAAAAAGTTTTTTCTTAGTTTTTGTTTATAAAATTTTGTAAATAAGTGATTTTTCTCCTTCACTGATGTGCGCTAATGAGGCTGCAGTGATTGGCACTGATAGGTGGCACTGATGGGTATTGACAGACATCACTGATGGGCACTGAAAGGCAGCACTCATATGTGGCACTGATAGGCAGCACTGACTGGCACTGATAGGCAGCATTGTTAGGTGGCGCTGACTGGCACTGATAGGCGGTACTGATAGGTGGCACTGGCTGGCATTGATGGGTGACACTGAAAGGCAGCTCAGATGAGCACTGATATGTGGCATTGATGTGCACTGTTAGGCACTGAAATGTGACACTGATGGGCACTGGCAGCTGGCATGGATGAGCACTGACACATGGCACTGATGGATACTGACAGGTGGCACTGCTGGGGCTACACTGATCATCAGTGCTCTGATGATCAGTGTAGATGTCACCTCCGAGGAATGGTGATTACCGGCTCTCCTCTCCTCTCGAGCTGTCAGCGTGACAGCTCGTGAGGAGAGAAATGCCGATAACCGGAATTTCCCTGTTTACATGTGATCTGCTGTGATTGGACACAGATGATCACATGACCGAGCCAACATCTTCGGCTCTTTCCGTGGATCGGTGATCCGCTGTGTCCGAGGGACACAGTGCACTGCCGTTCACCGTGCTCCGGGAGCCGCGCATGCGCTGTGAGAATGGGAGGATGTCATATGACGTCCTCCCAAAACGAGAGAACCGCCTTGTGCCCATCATTTGTACTATATTGCAGGCGGGAGGCTGTTAAAGAATGTTACCACTATAAAAAAAGAAGGGAGAAAATATATTGCTGTTAGACTGAACAAGGCACATTCAAATTTGTAATGTACTTCAAGATGTGTGTTTTAAGAGGAGTATATTTGAACTGGTTGTTTTTAAATATTTCCTGTTTTTTACGTTAGATCTGAGTCTTATCCCATTGAGTTAAATAGATGATAATTTGTGCTGCCTATTCTTTATATAATTTTATTTATTTACTTTTTTAAATTGCCTTCTTATAGGAGACCTTGGCAAATCTAGAACGCCAAATCTATGCTTTCGAAGGAAGTTATCTGGAAGATACCCAGATGTATGGGAATATCATCAGAGGATGGGACCGTTACTTAACAAATCAAAAAAGTTTTTTTTTTTTTTCTGTAGGTCTGTCAGACTGGTTTGTGTGTTTTTGCTGTAAAAGGTTGCATCATATAAATATGCACATGCATTTAGTACACAGAAGAAATTCTGGGTTTTCTAAATGATCCTTTACTTATCCATCATAGTTGAATGTCTTTCTTTTTTTTTTTTTTCCTTAGGAACTCAAACAGTAAAAATGATAGACGAAATCGAAAGTTCAAAGAAGCAGAAAGACTTTTTAGTAAATCTTCAGTAACTTCTGCAGCTGTGAGTATTTAAAACCGTTTTTGGCAATTTTGGAATTGATTAAGGTTAGGTTCACACTGCTGCGGGTATCGCACCTGCATTACTCACAACCACCCGCAGCCAAAAATTCGCTGTTCTGTAGAGATATTCATTCTTAATGCACCCCCACAGTGTGTTTGTGGGTGTGGGAATCGCAGGGAAATCACTTGGTGATTTCCCTGTGGCTGCATTTTGAAAATGTTGCAGGCACCCTTTTTTTTTTTTTTTTTTTTTTTCTTTTTTTTTTTTTTTTTTGTTGCTGGGTGGAATAAAAACATGGCAGAAATGCACTACTTTCATTTCAGCAGCTTCTCAATTGAACTCTGTTGTAACACAAAATCAGTGCAGTTGCTCTAGCCCTGAGTAGAACATGTAAAGGGAAACACAATACATTTTTGCTTACACATGATTGGATGAAAGAATCAGCAGAGCTTCGCCTCAGTTCAGAGCTTCCACAGTATATTTACCTTTAGTAAATCAATTCCATTGTTTTACTAAATGCTGCAGTCCCAATTTTTAGTCCATTGTGCACGGGGAGCGGTTGTAAGCCCACACACACACTGCAGAGCTAGGGCACAGAGCTGAGTGTAATCTGAGAGCTGTTTGGAGCAAAGTGACACACCGCTCTTCACATATAGAGAAGATCTGAGGGTAGCTGAGTAATCTGTGTGCTGGAAGGGGGGTGGGTTGCTCCCTGGAGGCTGAGGTGTTGGTTTAAATGCATAGTTCACCTTTACCAAAAAAACTGCTTATGCAGATAAGGAGTGCCTGTAGATAAAATCAAGTATGTAACTTTAACCAAAGTTGCATAATGCCCTTGCTATTGGCTATTTACGTGCATCATGTAGCCTAATTAGAAAACTCCCCAGGGCGTTGCTAAGAGAAGCCCAGCTGTTATTATTCACCTCCACCATCACAGAAGTGAACTTTCTCTGATTCAAACCCCCTCACATGCTCTCTCTCTCCCCTTATGCAGTACCTTTTTGAGCTCCGCATTTGAGGGCTTGCTCCTGTCTTGGTGAAGTCAACAGTAACACAAGGTGTCTTAGCAGTGTCCTTAGCAACGTCCTGGGAGTATTCCAGTCAGGCTCCAGGTACTATGTAAATGGCTTAAACCTATGGGAATAGCATTATTCAACTTTGGTCAAGGCTGCAAAGTTTTATTTTATCCACATGCACCCCTTATCTGCATGGGCAGTATTTTGATAAAGATGAACAAACCCTTTAATCTGTTAGGAGTGAGTCATGCAGAGGAGGGAGAGATCGGAGAGGTAACCGACTTGGTGCTTTGGATTCAGGCAAGTACACATTATAGTGGGATGTGCTTTGTTCATTTTTCATGTCTGAGGTTTACAACCACTTTTTATATGCTTCACTAGGAAGTTCATATACAGAAGTTTATTTTTCATTAAAGTGTTACTAAACCCAGGACTCTGCATTCACTATATCTGGTCTCCCACAGTACACAGAACATGGAAATGCAATTATTTTAGTAAACATAAACTGCTAAATACCTTTTCTCATCAGCATCTCTGTGACTTCTACCAGTGTCCAGCAAAGCACTGGTTAAAGCTTGTAGGAGGAGTTTTTCTCTAGGAGGATGCAGAACCCCTGACTTCCTGTCTGGACAGTACTGATTGGCCCTGTGCTGATCACATCCACTCTCCCAAGAAAAAAAAAAACCCTCTCTAGCAATACACACCATGTGCAGTGTCTCCAAGTATCTGCTATACCATGTACTTGTATGAAAAAGTATCCTGTTCTTTGTATTGCCAGTCCTTCGGCTTTTCTATTAAAAACTGACCACCCTAATTATGAGAGCACAGCGTTGATCAGTTCTCTAGCTGTGCTGGGAACTCGACTTGCTCTCCTCCTCCAAAGATCAGATTTCTGCTCACCTGCTCCCCTGCACAGCCATTAACTTGGAAGTTCAGTGTACTGCACTTTCTCCTCCCCAGCTCACTGTTCTCAACTGCATAAGGAACTTAGAGGGGGTTATGATCCCTTATACAAAAGGGAAAAAGGTATTTATAATACTATTTTTTTTTTTTTTTTTTTTTTTTTTTTATTTTTTTTATTTATATGTATACACACACATTTTAAACTGAACGGGTTGTTTTACAAGGTGAAGGTTTACCTATACTTTAAAGACTATAATTTTAAAATGGATATAACCCTTCCTTTTGTTGATATAATGGTTTGATAACCCTTCTAATATGAGACAAAGGAACTGTGAAATTGATGCTAAAGGTCACATTTTGATTTTCAGGCTGTAAGTGCATTGGCTGGTGTACAAGACCAAATGATTGATAAACGTAAGTACTCTTTATGACTTCTTAAACCACACAGATAATTTTCATACTGTAAGTTGTAATTTTAAATTTCTACATTCAACTGCAAACTGGCAGTGATCTTCCCTGATCTAATCTTCCTATTCTATATGAAACAAAATAAACATACCATTATTTGTTCTTACTCTGGTTTTGTAGGAGAGCCAGGCAGTGGAACAGAGAGCGACAATTCTCCAGACTTTCAGAATCAGGAGAATGAGCCTAGTCAGGATGATACAGAAGATCTAGATGGTTCCCTGTCAGGTGTCAAGCCTCAGAAAGCTGCATCATCAGCCAACTCTGGAGGGCACCACAGCAGTCACAAGAAACGCAAGAATAAAAACCGGCACAGGTTGGCTTAAGCATCATTTTATGTAGATTTCACCTTTTTCTTGTATCTGTCATACAGCTTCGCTTAAATATTCCTAGCACACTTTACTGTAGGATATGGTATAAATATGGCTCACATTAATGACTGTGTTTCTTGTAACAAGTTGTAGTGTTCCATCGTTGTGAATATTAGTACACTGTATTAGTTTAGACTAATAGCTTTTTAAACTAAAAATTAAAGGATCTGTTTTGGGCAGAGTGATCTTCTGTCTTAATTCCCTCTCATCTGTAAAGCTGAGACAGGTGACAGTTTGTGCATATCACATTTTTAATTACTACATTGACCAGTCCCTGCCCTTTTCTGATAAGTCTGAACATTACAGAATGTATTTCTAATTTGGTTTAATTTTCACACGTTGCACAAGGCAAGAAGAAAGTTATTTTACAGAATATGTGTTTTTTTGCCTTTCTAACAATTTTAAAGCAGCTTTTGCTAATTGTTTAAAGGATAAGTTTGTGCCTGTTCACACTGATGCGAATTTTATGCGGATCGGATGCAATCCAAAAAGCATAAATTCATATGTAATCTACAAAAGCATTCTTTCCAACACAGGCTGTTCACATATATGCGGTGCGAATTTGATCTGGTACAAAAAAGGGCCCTGTGCAAGTTTTTAGTGCAGGTGTGGTGCAAATTGAATCTCCTGCTATGCCAGTCCCCTCAGAAATCAGTCAATTTGCACCTTTCACAGCAGAAATCGCACTGTGAAACCACTTCAGATTCGCACCGCATCAGTGTGAACCAGCACGTCCCCTTCAGGAACATGTTACATGTTCCACAATTTTTCTAGGGTATAACATGTTCCCACTCCTACCAGTGGCTCGCTGATCTGAGCCCTCTGTGTGATCGCAGTACGGGGAGAAGTTCCCTGTACCAGCTGTCACTTTTTGAAAAGAGCTTGGCCATGTGGGGCACCACCCACACAGCTATGTCATTCATTCAGAGTTTGGTAAATAAATTAACTTCAAATATCGATATCCTTTGCAGATGTTGGCTTGTAGCTCTCAATGAACTAACACGGCACTGTTGAGCGCTTAGGTAGTTCATTGATTCTTCCTGTCAGTGTAAAACTGCCTGCCCGTACGATGACAGATTACACTGACAGGTCTGTAGGAGTCCTGCAGTCTGCTGATCACTAGTGCAATGCTTTTCAGGCTTCTTTTTTTTTAAGTTTAAAAAAAAAAAAAATTGTGACTGCCCTTTTTTTATTACCTGCTTAAAAAGTGCATTTATTTATTTTAAAGGTGAACTGATACTTTAAACAAATCAATGCACCTTACCAACATCAATTTAGATACACCATGGCCAAAAGTTTGTGGACGCCTGACCATCACACCTATATGAGCTTGAGCCTTGGTTCACACCGGCGCGATTTGTCACGTGATTTCAAATAACATGACAAGTTGCACCCTATTGTCTGCAACTGTAGCGTTCAAATTAGTGCGACTCTGACTCCTCTGTCGGAGTCGCACTGATTTTGAAAGTCATTCCTGCAATATTTTTTGCGATTTCCAGTGTGACTTGCATAGATACCTGTGCATGAAGTCGTACAGATGTCTACAAAGTCGCACTGACATGCGACTTTGAAAGTGTGCAACTTCAAGTGGAGTCGCATGATTTCAAAGTCTGATCCGGTGTGAAACTGAGCTGATGGACATCCTAGCCCACTTTTTTTGGGAAGGCTTTCCACAAGGATTTATAATGTTTTTATGGGTATTTGTGGCATCTGTGAGGTCAGGTATTGATTAACCTGACTCGCACTCTGTCTTCCATTTCATTCCAAAGGTATTCAGTAGGATTTAGGTCAGGGTTCTGTGCCACTTGAGTTCCTCCACACCAAACTCTTTACACTATGGAGGAGACGTTCTGATATCACTTCCGGGTCCCCGTTGAGAGATTCCCAGAGGCTGGGAAAGAGTGTAATGTGGTACAATGTGCACTGCATTACATTCAGGGGTGTCTCAATAAAGAGAACCTGTCACCAAAAATCATCACATATAGCCAATTAGAGGTTAATGTCCCACATCTGTTGCTTTTTAAATTGCAATTAGTGTCAGTGTATAAATAGCCAATGAGTTTATCTCTTACGTGGTAGCACTGACTAAGCTAGATACTGAGCACAACTGTATGTGTGTGTATATTGTAAAAAAATGAGTTACACAAGCACATAACATCCCCACCCCCACATATATGCACGTACAAACGTAAAACCGCGTTCTGGGGCGCCTATGCATGAAAAAATCGATTGTGATACACGTTACATATCATCGTGCACGCCAGAATGAGAGCAAAAATTCTAGCACCAGACCACCTCCGTAATGCTAAACTGATGACCTATAAGGGGCTTTAAATGTGTTGCTTATAGAAAATATAGGATACTAAAGTCTGTCGCCATTTCATGAGCGCGCACAAATTTTAAGGTTTGACATGTTGGATATTTGGTGCAACGTCATCTTTTTATATTCTACAAAAAATAGGGTAATTTATTGTTTGGTTTTTTTTGTGCCCTAAAATTAATTTGCATTTTTTTTACTGAAATTTTGCGATGATATGTGACATAAAAAATTGGAACTACCATTATTTTATTCTCTAGGGTCTCTGCTTTCAGTATATAATGTTTGGGGGTTTTATGTAATCTTCAGGCCCAAAATGATTTTTTTAAACTTGTGCAAAAACGGCTGTCTGCGAAAGGGATAAAGCATAAGCCCCAAACTCCCCTTTCCTGACGAGCACCCAATCAGTGCTCATTACACTGCTAGTCCTCGGGTGCGATGCTGGAGACAGGCATGGAGGGGAGGAGGAGATCTAAACAGCGCAATGTTAAAAATATTAACCATTTAAGTCACTACAAAGCCCCTTTTTGTTTTTAAAAGCCCCAGACATTCCTAAAATCACCTCTGATTTAAATACGGTTTTGGTTAAAATTTCCTTTTTTTTTTTTTTAATCTGAACAAGTAGATTGTCGTGAGAGACAAGTAGATTGGGACACCGATTTTAGTCCCTGGACAAGTAGTTTTTTAAAAAAAATTTCCACACCCCTGATATAGTGTAATGATATTGGGGAACTGATGAATTGCCTTGATCAGTTTAATATTTTTTCAATTGAATCTGGTTTTGTGTAGGTATGATTTTTCTTTCTCGGGCAGAGTAAGTGACCAGCTACTGCTTTGATGTCTTTCTATACTTACCAATAGAGTCTGGGAATCCTTTAGTCAAAAATGAAACCCTTGTAAAGCAAAAATTGGATACAGATAGTAAGATCTAAAACAGTCTAACATGGTACAGCCTATTTTTTTAAAAAAGGAACTATTTTGGATTTCAGACCATTCTAGTCAAATAATGTATGTCAGTGTTGTGATAGTAGCAATAGTTACTAAAACTTCAAGAATGAAGTCACTATTTAAAATGTGCTGGCTTACAATGTATTCAGTAAAATGAGGTGTTTGCTACCGTGTGGATTTACGTTTTGATTACAATTCACAGTTTTACTGAGTGCCGAAAGTATACCTGGTGCTCTGAAGGCTTTGTCATTTTGTGAATGGGTTCACATAATACAAAGCAAGAGGAGGGAAGAGACGAGTGCTGCTGAAAACAAAAAGTCCATGAGGTGGCATGCACTGTTAGACTTGACCCCTTGTAAGCTAGCAAATTTTAATGGGCAGATTAATTCCTTGATTCTTCTTTTAAAGCTGTTTCTTTTTTCTTTGGGGGGTTGGGATACATCTCCAAACACATTAATTATGTTCAGTTGTGAGTATCCTTCTGAGCCCCCCCTCACGTCTGCCCTCTCCGCCATTCATATTGCTGCTATTACTCCCACACACTGCATTGTACCAGGTATTTCCTTTACTACCCGCATTTGACTGGATCGGGGGGAAGCAGAAGGACATGTACAGTATATACTTCAGGCAAGGTCGGGTTTGAAACAAACCAGTTATTTTGCCTCCATAGGTTTTCTTAGGGACCCGTTTACATCTGTGCAGTATTTGTGTAGCTTCAGTAGTCTCCAGTGTGTGTGTGTGTGTGTGTCCCCCTTAAAAAGTATATGCAGTACCCCTTTTTAAATCAAGCTAAAATATTCATTAACCTATAAATCACATACATTACATGCATTAACATCCAGTGTACTGAAAAATCATCTTTTTACAGAAAATTGTGTACTTTACATACATAATTATCTAATTGTTTTTATCTGCTGTACATATACCTACATCAGATTGTTTGAAAATGTTAAAGCCCCACTCCAGCCAAAACTTTTTTTGTTTTAGATCTAGTTTTTTCTTTGTGTGGAAAGGTTAGACTCTATAGCAAAGTTTTTATTTTTCTGTGCCTTCCTAGGCACTAAATGTGTCAGGTAGTCAGAATCCAGAGAGCAACTCATTTGAGTCTTATCGACCTTTTTACTGCCAGGAAGAAAAATTCCTAGTTCTGTTAAGGGTTTTTAACCGCTCATTTGTTACAGTCGTCTTAGTTCTATTAAAGTCTCTCTGTTAAGGGATAGTCTATAGAAGTGGGTGATGCTACTTTACATCTGATACTGGTATGAGTAGTAACTGCTTGCTACAAGTATCCATCTTGGTACATGTGGACAACAGACTTGCACAGCAAGTGTTGCAGTCTGTTAATAGTGCACCGAAATGAAAATTCTGGTGCCGAAAATTCAAAATGCATTGGCCGAAAACGAAATGCGTACTTTTTTAAAAAATGAATATATATTTTTGGGAAAAAAATACTTTGATAAATTATATATATTTATATATATATATATATATATATATATATATATATATATATATATATATATATATTATTCCCAATTTTTGTAAAATATGAAAGAGGATGTTACAGCGAGTAAACAGATATCCAACATGTCACACTTTAAAATTGCGCACGCTCGTAGAATGGCGTGAAACTGCGGTACTTAAAAAATCACCATGGGTGATGCTTTTAAAAATTTCCAAAGTTACAGAG